ATATTTTGAAGTCCCAAACTTTATGAAAACTTACAATATTGGTTATTTAAAACTTTTCTCCCATTATGTTTTTGTTTCTTATGAATACAAAGTGGGCTCAGAAATGCAAAAAACCTCAACTGCCGGCACACAGTCTACATGAATTGTTGTAAAGTGACTGTTGAGGTTAATACTCTTTCTCAATATCACAACAATGTTAACAATTTAAGTTAGTGAAAGGATTCTCTTAAACATAAGTTGTAGACATAATTAACCAATTTAGTCATGTTTTTGCAAGACTGCAACAGTAACATCAATCTTATCGCCATATCTTCCAATAGCTGGAACTTAACAATAAAAGTCTTATCCAGTTTAGTCACAGCCAAAGGAACAAAGTACATTCTGGTGAATGCAGATGTTCTTTCCACCACAGCTTCGCGGTATGACAGTATATAAATAACCTACATTAAACTAATAAACTTTAATATTTACTGGGTTGAATACTGTCCTTTGCAAGAACTATTGAGAAAGACTCATGTTAGGTAAAAGTCTAGTAGCACCCAAATCAATATTACCCTGTGAGTGTTCAATAATATGCAAAGTTCATTAGTGAAGTTTTTTTTTTTTAAGTCAATTCTTTTTTTTTTTTTTTTTTTTTTTAGACGGAGTTTCGCTCTTGTTACCCAGGCTGGAGTGCAATGGCACGATCTCGGCTCACCGCAACCTCCGCCTCCTGGGTTCAGGCAATTCTCCTGCCTCAGCCTCCTGAGTAGCTGGGATTACAGGCACGTGCCACCATGCCCAGCTAATTTTTTTTTTTTTGGTATCTTTAGTAGAGACGGGGTTTCACCATGTTGACCAGGATGGTCTCGATCTCTCGACCTCGTGATCCACCCGCCTCAGCCTCCCAAAGTGCTGGGATTACAGGCTTGAGCCACCGCGCCTGGCTTTAAGTCAATTCTTAGTAAATACAGACCACGAAGAGATAGAAAAAGAATGGGAGATACTTACATACATAAGTATTCAAACATGTCTCCCTTCCAACCTATATTACGAAGAAAACCAATGGCAAAATATGCAAAGCCTTACAATATCTTTGTATGATGCTAGAAATATGAAGCTGGTTAGAAATTGCTGTCATTCTTTGGTGGCATCAGATAAATTTTTTAAATAATATATAAGAGAACATACCTTTTCAGTGATTTTATTTCAAGGGACCCTGATCCTTATGGTTTTGACATCCTGGGACAGAATGCATGATAGAGGTTCCCTCCCCAAAAGCCCTGGACTCATAAAATGGGACTCATAAAATGGCCTATACATTAGGCCATTTTATGAGAAGAAATATTTCAGGATCACAGTCTTTCTCCCTCAAGTTAAATGAAAAAGGTAACAAGGCTGTCCCAAACAACCTATTAAATTAATATAGCTCTCCAAACTTTGGGTCTAGAGGATTTAAGGCACATACTTCCTGACCACAAGTGAAATCACTGATACCTTTAAAAAGATATGACTATGAACATACAAAATTGCATGCAATTTTTTTTTTTTTAATGGAGTCTTGCTCTGTTGCCCAGGCTGGAGTGCAATGGCATGATCTTGGCTCACTGCAACCTCCAGCTCCCAGGTTCAAGCAATTCTCCTGCCTCAGCCTCCTGAGTAGCTGGGACTACAGGCATGAGAATGTGATTCTACCATGTTGGCCAGACTGATATTGAACTCCTGACCTCAGGTGATCTGCCTGCCTTGGCCTCCCAAAATGCCAGGATCACAGGTGTGAACCACTGCTGCTGCCTGGCCCAAAATTGTACACTATTAAATTAATGTTATACAGGCCATAGTACTTAATATGGAAACAGGGACATTCAATACAGAAGGAATCAAAACTATGCATTATAGGTCACACTGAGTAAAAAATCTACACAATAGCTTTTACTATTGTTAAGTACCTGGCACAACTTAAAAGCTCACTCTTTTGGACTAAATGGGGAATAATATTTATAATGACATAATAAAAACTCTATTTTTGAATGAGAAAAGCATTTAGGTAAAAATTAAATGTTTCTAACTAAATGCAGCTTAACTAACCTTTATATATACATAACTGATAGTTTTGTCTACCAAGCGTCTTACAAAAATTTAGGAATAACCACTAACTACTTTTTACATAAATAGCTACTGCTAAAATGCTTTAAAAGATCAAATTTTATTTGTACTATTTGCTTAGTGTTTTTTCTTTTTTACATAATGAAAAGGTAAACATTAACCAAGGGTACCCGTTGTACCACAAATTCCAGGTTAATGAGGTATGACTTTCTCCCTTTGGGAAGAGCAAAGTTGGCTGTAAGATCTTATTACTTGGTGGCCCTTAATTATGGAGGGATATGGACTATTTCCCAATACACTGAACAAATTTTGTAATAAGGGCTTTTGGATGGTAGTCAGTAGGCCACTTAATAATTTAATTTTAAAATAATTCACTATTACTTTAAAGGGCTTTCTTGGCCTAGGACTGTCCCTAGGTGTTTGGTTATTTCTCTTGTAGCCCAGTGGTTTCTAAAGCTTTCTTTAACACTCTAGCAATCAGCCTCTTCCTTCTCTTTTTTTGTTTAAATCTGATAGTTACAGAATCTGGTAGAACTGGTGTTCAGTATTATAACGCATTATTGTGGATTAATTGTTACTTTTACATAAGCACAAAAGTTCCTCAAATTTGAGGTACAATTTACAATGCAAGTCTTTTTTTTTTAAGACAGAGTCTCACTCTCCTCTCTTGCCCAGGCTGGTATACATTGGCGTGATCTCGGATCACTGCAACCTCTGTCTCCCAGGTTCAAGTGATTCTCTTGTCTTAGCCTCTGGAGTTAGCTGGTACTACAGGAACGTGTCACCACACACAGCTAATTTTATTTTTAGTAAAGATGGGGTTTCACCGTGGTGGCCAGGCTAGTCTCCAATTCCTGACTGCATTCAATCCACCCACTTCAGCCTCCCAAAGTGCTGGGATTATAGGCGTGTGCCACCACACCTCAGCCAAGTCTTTACTTTTAAATGTGGTAACTTGAAGCTCTAAATATCAAGAATTTTTGAACAAGAGACAATTCATCACACATTCATTAGTAAAATACAACCAGTTGCCTTTGGATTTACCTCCACTACTCAAATACTAGAATGCTGAGGACCCTGGCCAGCTGGTCCTTAATGTCAGCCAATCCCTAGCACCCTGGAATCAATATATCATACACTAACCTTCCTATTTCCCAGAATCTTAGCACTCTCACCAGCTCAGTTTGGTGATGCTGAACAAATAGATTCAAGGAATAGACTACTAATAATGCACAATGTACTAATTTCAATTTCAAATACTAGCACTGAATGATGCCATTCTAAATATATTAATGTTATGCTTAAGTAGTTTTATCCATAGTTTTGGTAACTAAAATTGTCCAAGTAGAGCAATATCAAAAAATTACAAAAATTAGACTTTGCTGATTCTGTCTTTTAAAACCCCCCAATTAAAGTTTATGTACTGTAATTAAACACAAATATATGACTTAGGAACTAAAGAGACAGACTGTTATTTTAAATACATAGTTAGCTATACGACTTGGGAGCTGACAACACATAGTTAGCTATATGACTTGGGAGCTGATTATCTGGTTTCTAGATTATCAAGTCTCTTATATCTGACTTCAGATTAATTTCTCTAATCCGGAAAAAAGAAAAGATAGGAAAAAGAAACAGGGAAAATCTTAGAAATCATTAGCTCCTCTTACAAAAGGATAGGTCAAAGATTTTAAGAAAGATAAAATTGACAGCTATAACACAGACTTCACTAAAAATTACCAAAGACAGTTGCACACTGATCACAGATTTTTTCAACTATACATAGAACCATAACATTTTGTTGAAATAATACTGTAGTATACATCTATATTCTTACATGCAAAGGCCAGAAACTGTGTCTGGTTGGACCTATTTACATCTGTAAAAGATGAAGCAGTAGATCGTCTTTCTAGGAAGCTGGAAAGGAAGACTACTCAAGCAGTTACTTAGGTCAAGCTGGTAACTGATTAGGAAGTCAGCACACACGCATTTAAGCCAGAAAAAGTTGATCCTATCAATATGAGTACTTTACTATGAATACATTATTTTCTATGAAAATATCTTATGTATCTTAGCTAAGTCACTTATTTAAAAAACATTTTATATTTGTCACTTAGGCACAGCCTAAGTTATCTTTACCTTTTGTAACTGTACAGTCTGCAGCTTGCTGTGGCTTGCATGGAGAAGTAAGCAAAGACTATATTTTATGATATAATCACCTATGTATCACTCTTCTAGGCAGTAGGAACATATAAGATTACTTCTATAGATACAGAAAATTTCTGAATCAAAAAGAATACAAAATCTTACTACATTATAACAAGGTCAAGGTAAAGGGATTTGTTCTATAGCAGCGTTTCACATTCTGCAGTTCATGAAACTCTCATGTTTCATGAATTAACATAAAAATAAACATATAAACCCTGAATTATACTAGTTTCTTCTAAAATATAAAACATATATGAAAAAACTCTAATACATGTATATGTTACTATACAACAATTTGCTTTTAAGAAATGGTGTGCCATGAATGCCAGAAATCAGAAAAGGTTATCACCTGATGTTCTAATGCCTATCTGACCTGTATATTTAACATTTCTTACTGTATTTTTAACATTTACCAACAAATCACGTTATTATTAGTTATCTAATGATTACCAGTAAGCATTTACATTTTATTAACTTGTAGTTAGTTGTACTATTATTCAATTTGTATTGCATATTAAACTAGTTAATAAAACTTTGGTAATTTCTAATAGCAACTAATTTGTGAAACTATTTTCCTGTTATACATTAAGGATACATTTAGTATTTTTTTCTATTTTATTAATACTTTATTTTCTAAAATGCTTCCATGGTTAAAGTAGTTCTGGAAACTGTTCTATTATGTATAAAGACAAGGACTCCTTTCCCCATTTTTATTTGGCTTGTTGTGATGTTTTTCGAGTTGTTATTAGTTTTTCTTTAAAAAGCAGAAAAAGATGGTCCAATAAATGCCATGGGCAAGAGTCATATTTTTCTCCACCCATTTAATGCAAAAGATAAGGAAGCTTTCCCAGTTTATAACTCTTAAAGAATTTTCTGTCAAAAATTCTTACTCTGTCTTATGATAAACAGATTGATTAAGATTGTGCCCTACCATTAAGTGTAGAAATAATGTGCTTCTAAGGGATGACTACACATTTAAACAAAAAAATTTTAAGAGGGCCATGAGATATTAGATATACAGTTATTTAACTAGTTCTGTTAAAGAATATTTTAAGGTGTTCTGTATAGCATGCCAGGTTATAGGTTGCTCTGGCAATATTTCTTGAATACATTTTTATATCCATGCTGGATTAAGGCACTGTTATAGTCATTGCTGGATTACATAAAGTTAACAGCAATCATATAGAACAAAGGAAAAGAACTAAGAAGTTTTAATATCGCACTTAAATGTTATATGCCTTACTTTACCACTTAGTTTGTCAGAAAGGTTTAGGTCCTATGTAAACATCTGTGAGCTTCTCTGAATAGTTCTGTAATCTAGACATCCAGGCAATAAAAAAAGGGAGGGTTAATCCTGTTTATGGTATATAATATATATATGGTATATACAGTATATATGGTAGTGTTCTACCTAAACACAGGGCAACTCTGATAATTACAACTTTGACAATGTCTCACTTTCTCCATCTCAACTGCCACAAACTTATACTACTCGTGGCTTACTGTAGAACTGCTCTTCAGAAGGTGCCATTCCACTTTGTGATTCATGCAACACTTGAGTGAAAACTGCAAACCATGAGCCAAATGTGGAACTATCATTCACAATAAATTATAATAAAAGAATCTAAACATGGGACTAGACTCATTCCTGCTGAATGGGTAGATGAAACACAAAATGTTTTATATCACCCCAGACTCTTTCATGAACACTTAAGATAAAGATAAGGTTTCTAGTGAGCTTCAAGCTCTATTTTCTTTTCTAACCATCTTTGCTCAGTTTTTAAGTATTTCACACTACTGTGCACTCTTGTTCAACCAAGAAGAACTTTCTGCATTCTGCGTGCAGCAACACTTGCTTCATCTTCTGAGTCAGATTCACTCTGGGATGTGGAGCTGTGAGAGGCAGAACTGCAAGGGGAAGAGCATTCTGGCGAACACAAGTAGTGCATCAGTGGGAGGCGATACTTCCCACAGAAGTCCACAAATTTAATTTGTCTGACACAGCAGTCAAAGTAGACTCCTAGAAAGAAGGAATACAAAGTAATCATTACAAAGCAAGAAGCCAACTTTTTAGCCCTTTTTCCAGTGTTCTGGAGAAATGTCATACACCATCTTCTGTTATGAATCTTAAACAGAAGTAGTAATTCTTTGTATAAGCCTACTGGAAGGTCTTAAAGGTAGAACTTGGCTGCAAAGAGGTAACCAGGAAATTTATCTTAAAGGGAGCAGGCACAGAAAGGACACTGTCTACCTAGCTTCTTTTCTCTGGGAGACTTGGGGCAATGGCTGATGGAGATTTTAGGATACCTGAGGTGTCCTTTCTCTATTACCCAAGCCACCCCCGCTTGGTACTACTCTACAGTCAGGAGACTAAAACAAAACAAAATAAAAATAAAAAGTCTTTTAGTAATTATCTTAAAGAATAAGTACACAAAAATTTGCAGAAAGGGGATGACTTTTGATACCTCTGTTCTTACGTACCGAGAAAGCAAAACTGAAAGAAATAAAATGCCATTTTACATTTCCAAAGGCTGTATCTACAGGCCTCAAATCTGTTTCACTGATAATCTCACTTGATTTTCACGCAATTATACATTGTCAGGTAAACTGAAAGTACTATCTGGCCCTTTTGATTCCTAGTTAGTGCTCCTGATCTATGGCCCTTCAGTTAAGCAAAAACAGAGCAAGAGCTAAGAGGAAAGCAGATGTTGCTGTGCCTCTGGATTCTAGTTGATCCTTAAAATGATACTGCAAATCTCTAACACACAAAGACTGTCACAATGGTTGCAGTATAACCAGAACATCTAGAACGTTGGTCCCATCGCTTCTCTGGAGAGGAATCTCAACCTCTATACTCTGCCTAAGTTTCTTCTGGCACCAAATACTGTGCGTTTATCCCAAAAGGGACCAAAATTAAAAGATGTGGTTCAAGCAAAGGAAAAACAATAAATTCTACTTCTATTTTTTCCTGATACCTCAATTAACCATGTAGTTTTTTATGTTGTAGTAAGTATAAAAAACGGGAAATTTGTGATATGTTACTTTGAACAATTTAGGAAAGCAGATACATTCAATAAGTTGGCCAATCACAGGCCGATAATAAATCCTCTCAAATGTGTTAGTTTCTTGAAAACAGATGAAAGAAGTAAAATAAAGCAAAGCATTATGGGAGTTACTATGCACTAAAGCAGTGTAACACTATCTTGTGATTTGTAAGATTTCAGATCATACAAAGAGAAAAATATCTCCGAGAATATAAAAGTAATTTTGTTTAAGTTACAGTTTAATAACTAATGAATTCGAGTGGGAAAGTATCTACTGATTCATTTCATAGATTATCTCAAATTTTAAACTGATAATTTTTTTTTTTAAGAGACAGGGTTTCACTCTGTCATCCAGGCCAGAGAGCAGTGACCTGATCACAGCTTATGGGAACCTTGAACTCCTGGACCCAAGCCATCCTCTTACCTCAGCCTCCTGAGTAGCTGGGACTATAGGCACATGCTACTATGCCCAACTGATGTTTTTATTTTTTGTAGAGATGGGGTCTTGCTATGTTGCCTAGGCTGTTCTCAAACTCATGGGCTTAAGAGATCTTCCTGCCTCAGACTCCCAAAGTCTGGAATTAGACAGGAGGAGTGAGCCACCACGATCGATCAGCCTTAAGCTGGTAACTTTTAAAGCATTTTGTTCGTAAGGTAAGTGGCAGTATACTAAAGAAGTCATTAGGAAAATATTTAAGAGAGAAAAGAGAATTTCTGTAGAGGTCTCATTTCCAAAAAAATATGAATTCAAATAAAAGATTTAGACTCTCAGGCCTGAGGGTCTGCCCTATGTGTTTTCCTCTGTCAACTGTGAAAGCTAATTCAGGAATGGAGAATCACAGAGAAAAGCATAAGCACTTTGAACTTGGCACAGTGCTGCAATCTCTACTTCTAAGAGTGGGTGGCCAGAAATGACCCAGAGCATTACCTTTTTTAAACTCAAAGTGTCTTTTTAATCTTTTAACAATCTTGGAAGAATTTAATAATTTTTTCCCTTTTAACTTTGTAATAGCTTCAAGATAAGATGGGACTGCCAGGGCCGGGCGCGGTGACTCAAACCTGTAATCCCAGCACATTGGGAGGCCGAGGCGGGTGGATCAGGAGGTCAAGAGATCGAGACCATCCTGGTCAACATGGTGAAACCCCATCTCTACTAAAAATACAAAAAATTAGCTGGGAATGGTGGCATGTGCCTGTAATCCCAGCTACTCAGGAGGCTGAGGCAGGAGAATTGCCTGAACCCAGGAGGCAGAGGTTGCGGTGAGCCGAGATCGTGCCATTGCACTCCAGCCTGGGTAACAAGAGCGAAACTCCGTCTCAAAAAAAAAAAAGATGGGACTGCCAGAAAAAGTCTCACCTGGTTTTGATCATCGTTATGCAGCATTTCCTCAGTACCTACTGGATTTTTTAAAAGGTAGTCTTTTACGAGGGCGCCAAAGTAAAAATAACCTACTATCAGTCACCAATTCTCATCCACACACCCTGGAACTTCAGGCCCTTCACAACCTGGCCTCAATGTAGCTTTTCACTGGTCTCTCATTACTCCTCTAACCTCACATTTGGGCCAAATTCCTACTCATCCAACATTCTGCCCCGTACGGTTCTGTCTCCACTTTGCACTCTCCATTTGAAAAATATCCTATCTAGAATCTTATCCTATCAAAATCTAATTCATACCTCAAGAATGACCTCATTGTTTCCAGATCTAATTAAATATACTCTCCCCCTCCTTTGATTTCCAGAAGCATTCTGAATTCCTTGGGATACTTACCTGACTCTGCCTTATATCATTTGCATAATTCTCTCCAAATGCTCTAAACTCAAGACATTTTGAACCATGAACTTAAAAGAATATAAAGTTTTAGGTACATTCTGAAACTGGCACACATTCAGCCCATTCTCATACATAGTGAATCATACCCTGTTAAATCTGACACAGGGAATGGTGAGGTGTCCAAACATTTTAGAAACACTTTTTAAACAATTAGAACTGTTTATACTTCCTTATGTTTCCTCTCAATTTACCATTTTGATTTATTATCTTATGATAAGACAGGATGAGACTTCCTGGACATGTTCCTTCCGTATGAATCCTAAAATATCATGAAAATAATTTTTTTTTTCTTTTTAGGCGGAGTATCACTCTTGTTACCCAGGCTAGAGTGCAATGGCACGATCTTGGCTCACCGCAACCTCTGCTCCTGGGTTCAGGCAATTCTCCTGCCTCAGCCTCCTGAGTAGCTGGGATTATAGGCACAAGCCACCATGCCCAGCTAATTTTTTGTATTTTTAGTAGAGACGGGGTTTCACCATGTTGACTAGGATGGTCTTGATCTCTTGACCTCGTGATCCACCCGCCTCGGCCTCCCAAAGTGCTTGGATTACAGGCTTGAGCCACAGCACCCGGCCCTGAAAATAATTTTTTAAGAAAATCCAGAGTGAAATGTCTTACTCTCTCATAAACAAATGAAAGGATAAAGGGAACAGAAACAGAGACTGCTTTTCTCTGAAAGAAGACTTAATTAATTCAAAAAATAGTTAAATGAGTGGGAAACATGAATACTGAATTAACTTACCTCCACACTTTGGGTTTGGGCAATTGCTGGCTGAACCCAAGTATCTAAGAAGATTCCCAGGAAGATCATAGGGAGTGTAGGAAATATTTCGGATCTTAATGGTCCGTGCAGCTAATTCCAGGAGAGTTGGAGGATCATAGGTTAAATCTCTAACAAAACGAACAACCAATGGATTTCCTCGTAAACTCAACTCTTCCAAATGAATGAGGTTGAGGATCTCTCGAGGCAGATATGTCAGCAAGTTATTGTGAAGACTTAGGGAACGAAGTGAATGCAACCTAGAATAAATACGGTATAAAAATCAATGGCAGTGAACAACGTAACTATCAAAAACATTGAGTATATGTGTGCATATAGAACTTGATTTCCCTTTAAGAATGAGCAATTAAGATTAGGGTCAGTTGAAGTAAAATAAAAAGGTGCTAAAACTAGATCAAAGTGCAGATTTGTAGATGTCATGGAGGACTTTTGCCCTTGGAATCTTGGAGAATTTAGAATACTTGGAGAGTGTTCTGATGTGCTAACTGCCATAAAAGCTGGATTTGAAGATTTAGGGGTGGGCAGTGGGCATGCTTTTTCATTTAGGTATTTTAAAAAATGAAAGATTTCAAATGCAACAGAAATTAAGATCCTTCACATTATAAAGCCTAATTAGGATAGAAATGTTTCATATCAAATATAAATTCACTAAAAGTACCATAAAACCTAGGGAAATATATGCTAAATTAATACTCAATTCTTTGATTACAGAAAATAGACTGTATTTTTGAGGAATAAACCAGAGTATTTTTAAAGCAATCCTCAGAACTATAATTATCATGTATCATTTACTTTGAGAATATCTAATTCTTTTCTACATGTAAAACATGTGAGAGAATGCAGACAATAATTACTAAGCATGGATGTCTGTTTATATTCAAATGCCTTGAACTACTCACTGTGAAAGTTGAGGAGGTACACTTTGGATTTTGTTGTCACATAACACCAAGTAATTTAGAGAAGGCAGATTTGCTAATTCTGGTGGGATTTCTTTAATAAAATTTCCTCCAAGATATAAACACTCTAACCTGCAAAAACAAAGAAAACCAAAAAGTAAATAAACAAAAGTTGAAAAAGATATACTGTTGTTTCTACTACAATAAACACGTTTCATCTACTCATTCAGCAAATGTTTTACTTAAGATTTGCTATGTGCTATTCAGTCTCTAGATAAATAATGCAATTTTCAGGGAGCTTATATTATAGCTAAGCAGACAAGACAGATCAATGTTAGATAATATTAAAATAAAACACGGGCTGGGTGCGGTGGCTCAAGCCTGTAATCCCAGCACTTTGGGAGGCCAAGGCGGGTGGATCATGAGGTCAAGAGATCGAGACCATCCTGGTCAACATGGTGAAACCCCGTCTCTACTAAAAATACAAAAAATTAGCTGGGCATGGTGGCGCGTGCCTGTAATCCCAGCTACTCAGGAGGCTGAGGCAGGAGAATTGCCTGAACCCAGGAGGCGGAGGTTGCGGTGAGCCGAGATCGCGCCATTGCACTCCAGCCTGGGTAACAAGAACGAAACTCCGTCTCAAAAAAAATAAAATAAAATAAAAAATAAATAAATAAAACACAAAACAAGGCCAAAAACAGGCATTACAATACCAAAATAAGAGGGACAAACCATAAATGATATTAGGAGTTGAATGAAAAGGAAGCTAAAAGTTTTAAAAGGCCACAGTAGTTCTGAATGGAAAAGGTTTCCCCAAAGGGTTGTGACTTCAGCTGGGCTATGGATTTAGTACATTTAGATGAGAAGAAAGAGTACACTTCAGGTTGGAGGAGAGGGCTTATAAGGCACAATGAGTATACCTTTTAATGGAAGAGAATTCATCTTGAAGAATCAAAGATAGGGTTGTAGAGAGACTAGATTAAAACAATCCTGAATTCCATGGTAGTATACTTGGATTTGATGCACTTACAGGCAATGGGAAAACCACTAACTTGTTTTCGAATACACTGTAAAACTAGGACGTCTCTACATTTCTTCTTTGCTCTTATTATAGCAAATATATTCTTTAGAGGCTGTGTCAATTGTCCACTACTACAAAACCAAAGTTCCAGGTAATTATACTGTTTTCTAACAATAGGTTAACATTTTAGAAAGGACATGTATTGCACCAAAATAGAAAAAAGGAATACTCTTTAGTGATTACTGTTGAAAGGCTTCCCCTAAAAGATTTTTCCAAGGGTAGCAGGATCCGTTCTTACAATATATATATAAATAAATAAAATGTATACAAACACATACAGACTTCCCCCCCAATACTATATTACTTTTATCTTCCTGTTAAATCTAACTCAGTAGAACTATTGTTCTTTCAAAACACACTTTAAATGTGGGAGAAAACAGTCTACTAAAGTGTTATTCAAACTTCCATGGTAAGAATTCCCCATGATAGTTTTAAGGCTATGAAGTCCAGGGTCCATCCAGATACACTAAATCAGTCTTCCTCTTGGATTGCCTGTGAAGTGGCAGATTTTAAAGTATAAGATATAATTTTAACAGATAAAGCCAAGTTACCTTGTAGCGCCATGGCTATTTACAAATCCATAATTAGAATTTAAGAGCACTACTTAACCTTTAACTTTGCCAACACCTAATATTATCACCACCATTTATTTATTTACTATTTGATGGCATGAAAAATGGTACCATTCTGTTTTTGTTTTTTTTTTAATCTGCAAATCTGTAGGTCACTATTAGTGAAGTTTAGCATCCTTTTATGGTCTTAGATATTTGTATATCTTTAGAGAATTACCTGTTCATATCATTTACCTATTTTTCTCATGAATCATGCAGCTTTATCTCATTAATTTGTTGGGAGCTCTGCTGTTGTTAAATATATATATTCTGCATAACTTTGTTCCTTTGTGGCCTTGAGCATGGTCTGTTTTTGTTCATGTATTATATGTACAAAAAGAACATATAGCTATTATGACTGAGCTCGTTAACTGAGCACTTTTTTTTTTTAAATAGTGTCTTTGATTATTTTGCCTTCTTGCCTTGGTGGTTTGTCTCCTACTATGAACATGATTTTCCTTCTTTCCTTCAGAGTTCTGTCAATCTTTGCTCTCTTTCCCATTAACACAGAGAAGTTGCACTGCAGATACATTCAAACTCATGACTGCTAAGAACTTGCTAAAGTGTGCCTTAATTTATATGAAGCATTTCTATTTGTTCTTTTTCTTTCTTTTTGAGACAGAGTCTGTCACCCAGGCAGGAGTGCACTGTGTGTGATCTTGGCTCACTGCAACCTCTGTCTCCCAAGTTCAAGTGATTCTCCTGCCTCAGCTTCCCAAGTAGCTGGGATTACAGGTGCCCACCATCATGCCCAGCTGATTTTTGTACTTTTGGTAGAGATGGGGTTTTACCGTGTTGGCTAGGCTGGTCTCAAACTCCTGACCTTAGGTGACCTGCCCACCTCAGCCTCCCAAAGTGCTGCAATTACAGGCGTGAGCAACTGTGCCCAGTCTCTCTTTGTTCTTTTAAATCTATTTTGCCCTAAAATCTATGTCTTCTGATTATCAATACTGCTTACCAGTTTTATTTTTGTTGATATTTATTTCATTCAACCTCAGCTCTACAAGTTATCAGTATAAAAATTTGGACCAGTTAATCTTGCAGTTTCTTCCTTTTAAAAATGGAATATTATCTATCAATATAAAATGCCTAGTTAACAAATACGAACCAATACCCACAATGTGCCAGGCACCATTCTAGGGAATAGAGTGTAAGTAAGTTCAAGTTCTTAACCTGAATAAGTTTATGTTTTAGTGAGAGAGACAGACAATAAATCAGTAACATGTCTATTATGGCCGATAGTTTTAAGCGTCACAAAAAAGGGGGAGCAATCGGATAATGATGGAAGTGACACTCTAGTGGTAAGTTTCTCTTAGGAAATGACATCTGAACAGAGATCTAAATGAAATGACAGTACAAATGCTAGCAATGGAAAAGTGACTGGTGTGTTGTAAAACAGCGACACAGCCAGTGTGAGTAGATGAGTAGCTCAGAGTGACTGAGGTGGAACTGTGGTCATCAAAGAGATCAGAGAGGTAACCTGGGAAGGCCACATCACAGAATGCCCTTTGGGCCTCTGTAAGAGCGTTTTGAAAAAAGAGTTCTGAACAAAGACTAGTCATTTAACTTGACTTATTTTTTAGAAGGATCATTTTGGCTACTGAGTGGCAAACAGCTGGAGAAGTGGTTAGGGGAGCGATGTAGGCAGGAGTAGGTGGAAAAGCAGGTTGGAGCCTAGTCCAGTACTTCAGATGAGAAATCTGTCAGTACTTCAGACAGATTTGCCTGGTACATCATTTTCTATCCCTTTAAACTTGTTAATGTATTTTTATTTTAAGCATAACTCTATAAATGGAGCCTAACTTGATGATTGATATGTTCAGACTTGTGTTTTCTATTATCATGGTGTATCTCCATACATTTTTTTCCCTTCAGTTGTTTCTTATTGTGCTCCTCAAATTTCTTTTTGTCCTATTCCCTCTACTTCTATTATTTTGAACTGTATATGCTATTTCTATTTTGCTAGGAGTTACCCACTTCAATTTGTTTTGTATTCTCTCTCACTCTCAAACACATACTCATGCTCTCTTCTGTCCTTCTCTTCTGACATCTTCTATAATTAGTTCTACATTGATTTTCTACCAATTTATTTCCAATCAGTAATTAATTCAGATTTATCAATATGTTTTACCAATTTTCTTTATCATTGTTTTTGGAGGCTTGCTATTTCTTTTAAGGTTCATTTTTCTTGGAGCACATCCTGTAGAAGTTCTTTCAGCAAGAACTCACGGTTGTTCATCTTTGAGTCCTTTGCCTCTGGTGCTTTAATTTTTTCCCTTCACTCTTGGTAATGGTTTGGCTGGCATAAAATTCTAGGTTGACAGTTACTTTTCCTTGGCACTACAAAGATGCTCCTCCATTATCTTATTACAGCCAATATTACTATTGTTGCTTTGTAGGTAATCTGTTGTTTTTTTCTTTTCTCAACAGGATTGAAGATTTTTTCTTATTCATCTTCAATGTTCTGAAGTTTTACTATGACATGTTAAGATATCAGTTTAGAGAGCTCCCTTTCTTTAATTGTGGGAAATTTCAGCCACTATTACTTTATACTTTGTCTTTGTTTCAGTGTCTTTCTAGAATTGTTCTTAGCAGTTTTAACTTCAGGATCTATCCTCCATGTCTTAGTACTTCTTTCTTACTTTTTATTTCTTTATCTCTTCGAGCTGAATTCCAGGAAAATAACTCAGTAAAATCTTTCAGCTCATGGATTCATTCTTCAGCTGACCTCTGTCCACCATTCAGATCAGTTAGTTAGTTCATAATTATATTTTTTCATTTCTAGAAGTTCCAATTGGGGTTTTCATAACTATCAGTTTAAAAACTCCCTATTCTTGCTTAACTGATGAAGTTCCTTCCTTTACCTCTCTGAAATTAGGGAATTTACAGATTGCCTTATTACAGATATTTTCTCAAATATAATCCCATTTTTCTGTCTTTCATAATATCAGTCTTCCTTGATGTGTGGTTATTCAAAATGCCAACTTGAATCTAACATTTTGTCTTTTTAAAAAATACATTAGGCCAGGTACAGTGGCTCATGCCTATAATCCCAGCACTTTGGAAAGCCTAGGCAGGCGGGTGACTTGCAGTCAAGAGTTAGAGACCAGCCTGGCTAACTGGTGAAACCCTGTCTCTACTAAAAAAGAAAAAAAAAAAAAGGCCGGGCTTGGTGGCTCACGACTGTAATGCCAGCACTTTGGGAGGCCGAGACGGGTGGATCATGAGGTCAAGAGATCGAGACCATCCTGGTCAACATGGTGAAACCCCATCTCTACTAAAAATACAAAAAATTAGCTGGGCATGGTGGCGTGTGCCTGTAATCCCAGCTACTCAGGAGGCTGAGGCAGGAGAATTGCCTGAACCCAGGAGGCGGAGGCTATGGTGAGCCGGAATGGCACCACTGCACTCCAGCCTGGGTAACAAGAGCAAAACTCCGT